AAAAAAAAAATGGCACTCCCAAAAGCAACCCAAATGCTCATTCTCATACTCATGATCCTTCACTACTCATCATCACCAGTACCAATAGCTCTTGCTGCTTATAGTAAAATCCCCACCTACAATGTTTTGAGTTTCGGGGCCTCGCGCTACGGGCTTTCCGACTACAAGGGGGCCTTTCTGCAGGCATGGAAGCGCGCCTGCGCCGACGTGGGGCCCGCAGTCATCCATGTGCCCGAGGGGAGGTACCCCTTGGGGGCCGTGAGTTTTGAGGGCCGCTCGTGCAAGAGTACGGCCATCGCGATTCGTATCGAAGGGACTCTGGTGGCTCCCTCGAATTACGAGGCTCTCGGGAATAGGGAGACCTGGTTGCGGTTCGTGGGGGTCGACGGAGTTTCTATCTTTGGTGGAACTCTCGACGGCCAAGGGAAGAGGCTGTGGGCTTGTAAACATTCCGGCAATAGTTGCCCTCATGGAGCCATGGTAACTTATTATTATTATTATTATTATTATTATTATTATTATTATTATTATTATTATTATTATTAAAAGTTGAGTTATTCTTGTTCATTTTTCAATTTTCTGGAGAAATTTTGAAAAAATTGATTGGCCTTAGAGTTTAGTTAGTCTTGTTGAAAAATGGAGGAAATAAAGTAAATAAATTATGACAAAGTTTGAAATTAAATCCTAATGCCTTTGACATTTGTATATATCTAGCCTGTGACTACATCTTTCTGTTGACCACTTCTCTAATATATATAAAATAAAAAAATTAGACTCCAAAAAATGTTTAAAGTCATTAGTGTTTTTTTTTTTTTTTTTTTTTTTTTTTTTTTTTTTTTTTTTTTTTTTTGGAAAGTATGATATTTGAGTATAAGAAAATTATAATTATATGGACAATTTATGATTATATAGCTAATATTAGACTGAATTAATAACAACATGAGTCATTCATTAATCAAAAGCGCTATACACACACACACACACACACACATATATACATTTATATTTAATTAATTAAATTAAAATTGACTTAGGTAACATTATCCAATATTCCTTCAATTTTTAACTGTTGATGGTATCCTATGCAGTCATTGACGTTCAACAATTCCAAAAACATATACATCAACGGATTAACCTCGTACAACCCCCAATTTTTCCACATTCTTGTGGAGGGTTGTCACAATGTCAAGCTCACAAATGTGAACATACAGGCCCCGGCCCGCAGCCCAAACACCGACGGCATTCACGTGAACATGTCGACCGGAGTTACCATCACCAACTCTAACATAGGCACGGGCGACGACTGCATCTCTATCGGCCCCGGAACCTCCAATTTATGGATCGAGAAAGTGACCTGTGGCCCGGGCCACGGAATAAGGTGCGTTATTTTATTTTATTTTTGCGATATTTAACAACCCACATTGCCCAATAACGTGACGGAAAAGATGGAAACGACATTTTTTTTTGACAGCATCGGGAGCCTCGGTTGGACGCCGCAAGAACCCGGAGTCCGAGACGTGACGGTTAAATCGGTTTTACTCACGGGAACCCAAAACGGGGTTAGGATAAAAACGTGGGCGAGGGACACCACATCATACGTCCATCGAGTTCTCTTCCAGCACATACACATGCAAAATGTTGGAAACCCTATTTTCATCGACCAAAATTACTGCCCGAACCACATGAACTGCCCGACCGAGGTACGGAATCTGGTCGAATCCTATGTTTGTGTTGCTAACTGGATTCATGTTTTATTTCATTGGATAATTGATGTATGTATAATTGTGACGCATGAACACTAGTCATTTATCATAGTTTTAAAAATTATTTGTCCGTCTCGGTACGTTTAGGAGTCGGGCGTGAGAATTAGCGACGTGACGTATGAAGACATAAGGGGAACCTCGGCCTCGCTTGTTGCCGTAAACTTGGGGTGCAGCGGAAAGAACCCGTGCGACAGAATCACCCTAAGGAAAGTCTACCTTACCTACAGGAAGAACAAACAAGCGACCGCGTCCTGCGGCAACGCGCGTGGAATCGAGGAAGGGAACGTCAACCCAGCCGGCTGCTTTTAGAAAGGGCCCATTGGCTTAAATTTCCTTTTCAAACAAAAGAATTAAATATAAAAGTTTTGTTGAGGTTTTTTCAGAATTGGTCAACTAATTTGACATCAAGGTCTGAAATTCTCTTTTTCTTTTTTTTTTTTAGTTTTT